TCTTGACATCCTTTACGATCGGTTACGATGCCTAGAGTACGGAGACTTGTACGATTTCGTCAACTTAGTGAGTTTGATAGGGGCCGTATAGTGGGACTTCGGGAAGCTGGACTTTCTTTTCGGGCAATTGCAGTTAGAGTGCAAAGAAGTGTAGACACTGTGGTTAGGTGTTGTCAGGCATGGCTTCGAGAAGGCCGTACGCAAAGAGCAAGAGGCACTGGACGCCGCCGTAGAACAACAGACCGTGAAGATCGCCGCCTAAGATTATTAGCCTTAAGGGACCGTTTCTCCACTACCAGGTCCATTGCATATGAATGGTTTGCAGAACACGGAAGACCTATTGGCATGCGAAGTGTTTACCGACGAATGAGAAGTTTTGGCTTGTTTTCATACCGGCCACACTGGGTCCTCCCTTTAACTCGAGAACAACGACGTAATCGCCTTGAGTGGTGCAGACAACGGTCACTCTGGGATCAGGAATGGAACAGTATTGTATTTAGTGACGAGTCTCGATTTTGTTTAGGCATGCACGATGGTCGTGCAAGGGTTAGAAGGCGACGTGGTGAAAGGATGAATCCACAGTTTTTTGTTGAAAGACATGTTCATCACACTGTGGGAGTTATGGTTTGGGGTGCTATAGCTTATTGTTCCAGGTCATCTTTAATCCTCATCAGACGTAACATGAACGCGCAGCGTTATATCCACGAAGTTCTAGAACCCCATCTTTTACCCTATCTTGACACCCTGGCAGATCCAACTTTCCAACAAGATAATGCCCGACCACATGGTGCAAGAGTCACAATAGACTTCTTTCAACATAATGATGTCACATTGTTACCATGGCCACCAAGATCTCCCGACTTATCCCCAATTGAGCACGTGTGGGATATGATGGCTAGGAGATTGCTCAATTTGCAACGTCATCCTCAGACTCTAGAAGCACTTCGAGATGAGTTGGTGGTTGCCTGGAATGAGATACCACAGGAGGACATTGACCACCTGATCAGAAGCATGCCTAGGCGCGTTGGAGAATGCGTAGAATCAGGGTGCATCCACACATTATTAAAGGTCAAAGGGCTTTAAAGCAGTGCAATCATTTTGAGATTTTTATCATTTACTTATTATGCTTCATTAAGTACTTATACAAAATTTTATTAAAATAAAACCATTTAAACTGGGTGTTCGGATTTATATGTCACTTAGTATATTTTGGTACAAATCTTGAAGTGGGCCAACTGAAGTGGGAAGGGGCTCGTATTGTTTCTATGGGAGTAGCGTAAACCATCGACTTAAGGTGTCCCATAAATAAAAATCTATTGGATTTAAGTCAGGGGAGCGAGGTGGCCAGTGAATTGGTCCATCTGTTCCAACACAATTTTCACCAAAGGCGTTATTTAGATGAGTTCTGACAGGTATACCAAGGAGCTCCATCGTGCACAAGAGTTATGGTTACGCACATTTAGAGGAACTTTTTCCAGCAGTACGGGCAATGCTTGTTGGAGAAAGTCTAAATAAGATTCGCCGTTTAATCTTAAGGGTAAAAAAGTTAAATTGTCACCAACAATACCCATCCACACATTTAAAGAAAATTGTTCCTGGTGGCGACATTGTACGTAAGCATTAGGATTTTCATCACTCCATACATGAGTGTTACGGTAATTAACAATACCATCCCGCCTGCGCCGATATTCTGCTTCGTCCGTAAAAAGTATGATTTTATTAAAATTTCTATTATTACTAACCTTTTGGTAATACGAGTACCGTTGGAAAAATTGTAAACGAGGTAGAAAATCTCTTGATAATGCTTGCACACGTTGGACATGTTAGGGACACAAAAGTTGCTCGGAGAGAACCTGCCACATAGTGCTGTTGGAATGATTATCTCCTAATCTAGTTGCTTTAGTCCTGGTACCAATACCAGGATTTTGTTCCACGACACGTAAAACATTTGTGGGATTGGTAAAACTTCCTAAATGACATTAATCTCAAAAACACCACGAAAACGAAATAAGAAAATTTACCTCTTTCCCGTAATCTACCGTCTACGCTTTCAAAGGTTTTACCATCTGGAAGTTGCCGATGGGGAAACGCTTCTGCATACAGTCGCCTCGCTGGATAGCAATTAACATAGTATGAGCACGTGCATACATTACGTGCATGTCTGTCATTTTCTCAATAGTGTAATTTTCCATCACAAAAACCGAGACAAAAACTTTCGCAAAGAAAATTACTTGAATAATTCTTTTCTAGAAGAACTGACGCTCAACGGTCAAACCTCCATGCAGAAATGATTTTTTGTTTTCCAAGGTACTTGTGACTTTCTTAGCAAAAATTAATAAATTTGTCCAGCGACATACAATAAAACTGTTATTATTTATTTTTTTCTCGAAAACGTAGTGAGATACGAAAAAATACAAGAGACAACCAAGTTGTATTTTTAGATGCTTAATCAAACAACAAATATTAAAGTTACAAACAAGGCAGTGGCGTACATTTTTTGTCAATATTCGCTATTAACTTTGATCTACATATAGGGTGTTCCTTAATGATATGTGAATATTTAAGGGTGTGAATGTACATGAAAAATTAATCTTAGTTTGCTATGGTCCAAAAAAGTTTTCATACAAAAACTCGGGGTGTTGAAGTTTTAGGAAAAAAATGGAAATTAATTAATATTTTCAGAACCGCTGCAGATATTTCACTGATATTTAGTACGTAGTGGAAGTTAATGAAGTTGCATATTTTTAATGCAAAAATGATTTTTAGCTTTAACAGTGGCGTGCATACGGGTAATGACTTCCATATTTTTGAAGAAAAAAATGGTGAGCCCATGGTTTTTTGCCAAATAAAAATTATTTTTGAATTTCCCGTACAATTTAAAACAAATGATATTTTCTGAGTTGTTTTCTTTGGTTGCGCCATTTTTGAGTAAAAAAAAACGCAAAATTATTACTAATTTAATTGGAAAAATTAAACACATTAGGGATAATGAACAACAACAACTGACAACATAAACATGACATTAAAACCAACGAAATTGTTACAAAAATTGTTGAAACTGGCCCCCTTCACTTAGTATGCATCCTTCCGTCCTCCTTCTCATGGAATTGCGCATTCGTTGAAATATCCCTGGAGTGCTTTTTATTCTATCACAAGCTGCAACTATTCTTTCTCTTAATTCCTCTACAGTGTTTTTGGGACTTGTGTACACTAGTGTCTTAAGAGCCCACAAAAAGAAATCTAAACTGTTAAGGTCTGAGAACCTTGATGGCCATTCCAACGATTTGGATAAACAGTTTGTAAATAATTACGAACCGCTACACTGAAATTCGTTGGTGCACCATCATGCATGTACCACATATTGTTTCTTGTTACTAACGGAACATCATCAAGCAGCAAAGGCAACTGTTGTTGAAGAAAATTGAGGTAAGTCTGGTAAGTTCTGCCCACAAATGATTATTGTGGAAATTCTGAATAGCATTTCAAGAAAAATTAGCTTCGTCCGTGAACAGAATCATTGATTCAAATTGCGGATTTTGTGTAATTTTTTGAAGATACCACTGAAAATATGTCACACGCCTTGGAAAATCAATGGGAAGTAATGCCTGTACTCTTAAAATATGGTGAGGATTTAACAAAAAATCCACTAAAATTCTCCAAACAATTTGATGGCAAATATTTAAGTGTCTAGTGATCTTCCTCGTACTCGTTTCAGGATGTTCTTCGACTTCGTGTAGCACTGCTTCCTCAATTTCAGGTGTTCTCACACTTAGAGGTCTACCTTCAGATGTTCCTTTTCGGACAGAACCAGTTTCAACAAGACGACGATGAATATTAGAAAAGGTTAGACTATCTGGCAAAGCACGATCGGGATATCTCTGGTGATAAATCCGTCTGGCTTGCTCACCATTACCGTCGGCAAGGCCATTTACGTAATGCATTTCCGCCATTTCTGCATTTGAATAATTCACCATTATTATCAAGATTGTAAAAGCTAAATAATGAAAAAGATGTCACAGCGAACAGATTTGAATAACAGAGACTTGTCAGATGTCAAAATCCAGTGACATATTCCAGAGAGACTAGACATTTATTGCTAAATTGCTAAATTCTTCAATTATTACATTAATTTTCTCGGACAATAGGACGGTTTTTATTTTTTTAATAAAAAATGGCGCATCGAAGGAAAACAATTCAGGAGAGATCATTTGTTTCAAATTGAACGGAGAATTGTAAAATAATTTTTATTTGGCAAAGAACCATTGGCCTGCCATTTTTTTGTTAAAAAATATCGAAGCCAAAACCCGTACGCACGCCACTGTTAAAGCTAAAAATTATTTTTGCATCAAAAAATGTGCAACTTTATTAACTTCCACTACGTACTAAATATCAGTAAAATATCTGAAGCGGTTCTGAAAATATTAATTAATTTCCATTTTTGTCCTAAAACTTCATACCCCGAGTTTTTGTAAGGAAACATTTTTGGACCATAGTTTATAAAGCAAACTAACATTAATTTTTCACACCCTTAAATATTCGCATATCACTAAGGAACACCCTGGATATCAGCAGGACGGCGCATCGTCACACTGCTAAAGGTACAAAAAATGGTTTGAGGATCATAATGTACCATGTCTTCTCTTGGCTTGCTAGTAGCCCCGATTTAAATGTAATAGAGACAAGTTATTAGTTAAGTTAAATTTTGTAGTGTCCGAATATTTAGTTTCCATATATTTTTGTAGAGCTCGTTTTTTTTTTAAATTAATTATCAAGGAAACAGATAATTTGTATATATACTACCAATAAAAGTTTTCGGTACAAGTTTGCAATTTTGTTCGGTTATTTTATAGGACGATTTGGTGTCCGAATATTTAGTTGTTTGGACTCGCTGGAAAAAAATATTTTTGAACTCAATGGACAGCATATTGAAGAATACACGTATCTTCTTCGTGTAGAGTCATTAAGCTTTTAGAATCACCTAGAGTATAAAGTGCACTTACCAACGCCATGAAAACACCGTTTGCTGAGACAAATAAATACACGGAGGTGAGATTCGCTATCTATTTCCGCTACGGTTTGCTTAAGAAAACATTGCACCTATGCGTTTGAAGATCGCGCGAACGTGTGAGGTGTGACCGCCTTTGAGCTGATATCTCCGTTGCTTTTGCTGATGAACCAATACCAAGCAGTATACACTTGATCTCAAAAGTATGTAGTTTGGCGTTACTGACATAGCTGATTGTTTTTACTATTTCCCTCGTCTTAATTTCTTCCAATCACAAACGCGCAATTTTACGCAAATTACAAATGGTTTCTAGATGGAAAAATTGTATGGCAGAACCTGTCAGCAGTTTTGTAGAGTTTTCCCGCGGTAAAACTTGACAGCTGTTGTCACCAAAAATTACAACACATTTGATAACAAGTAATTAAGGTCACCAGTAACCTCTGACTCAAGAAATAGTATTGTCAAATACCATTCGGGCATCTGATTTTTTCCTGTGAAAAAATCGAAAAAACAATATTTCTTTAACAAGAAGCATGAGTGCTGGTGGAAACAAAAATCCGAGTTAAAGACTTGTTTTTTCCAATTTTTTTTTTTTCGGAAAAATTAGATGCCCGTATGGTATTGCTGATGAAAATATTTAATTTAATTTTACCGACATTATACAAAATGTTGACATGCGTCAACATAAAGTTGCATATGAAGGCTTAATAATATTTACCAAGAGATGCTTTTTTAAAAATAGTTTTATTGCTCGGGCATAAGAAAGGAGCTTTTCCCCAATAATGCGCTTGCCAATAAATTAAATGGTTGCCAGGACACGTTGGTATACAGGGGAATGAAGCTGCTGATATGGCAGCGAAAGCAGCAGCAGCGCAACAAAACATCGACATCCCTGAAATAAAAATGTCTAATCATAAAAACTACCTCATAAACCGTATACAGCGACACTGGCAAATTACATGAGGTAACACTGATACCACTTAAGACAGATAAAACCTAGTGCAGGATCATGACCACATCCTATCAGACTGCTAGAGGAATGGGTGCGCATACATCGCTTACGCTTTGGCCACACACGTCTTACACATGCACATCTTTTGCTAGGAACAGATCCGCCCTTGCGCACTGGATGTAACTCTTCACTCACTGTACGCCACATTATCTGCACATGTCCGATATTGTCCCAATATCGAGTGATCTATGTACCATTTGATAACCTGACACAGAGTCTCACACAACCAGAAAAACTGAAAAACGTCATATCATTCTTAAAAGTATCTGGTTTCTATTGGAAGATCTGACCTAATGAACTTTTTGGAAATGAACCATTCTAATTTTTGTGTATCTTATTCTCAACTGAGATTAAATGAATCTTATATAACGATGATTTTGCATCATACCTACCTTAGCTTAGTGTTGTCATCTGGAACTAAAAGAAATATGTAGCAATAGAATTTGTATAAATCGAAATACTTACGTGAACGCAAACAAGATCGTGAAATGATAATGACCACAAAAAAAAATTAATATTAATGAATATATGCCTGACAAATTTAGTCGTGTAACATTTCCCAGAGATTATCTTTTGTTGCTAATAGAATCTGAAAGTAAATGACAATAGTATATCCTTTTCGATTAATATCTGGAATTTGCATATTTAGTTTTTTAAAAATGCGACATTTACCACTTAGACATGTAAGAGATATATATTTTATACTATAGATTTATATATTATATTTATATATTATTGAATACAGCTAATAACCATAGAAGTTGACGCCGTCAAAAAAAAATCAATACCACAGATATATTGCACTACGATCACGAAAACCATCATCTTACATTTTTTTTTATATTTGTTATCCTATATCTCTCACCCTGGCTTGTAAATTATTATATCTTAATTCATATACCTATAGGGTGAGTTTTTAGTCAATTTCGAAAAGTATGCGTTCCTTATAAAATATTATTATTATTATTATATTGCACTACTTACAGGGTGATTCATAACTGCGTGACAACACAAACATAAATAATAATAATAACGATAATAATAATAATAATAATAATAATAATAATAATAATGCCGGCTTTATCCGGGTGAATTTTAGCCAATTGCTACTTTTATATTTAACCTCTCCATGTTTGTCTGGCTGCCAAATAAAACCACATATACAGGGTGTAAACGTTATGGTAGTCATTATCGCAATGGGTAATAGGAGGGTCAAAACAAGTCAAACAGTTCATATGACCCATGGTCCAAAAGTCAATAGATTTTTGTCTAAATGGCTTTATAGTTTACAACTGCGAAGTTGAATTCCTGCCTGAAGATGTATTAATGCACCTGCGAAATGTGAAGACCTCTTCCTCCACTGGTAAAGATGGGATGACGGCTGCTGTACTTAAAAACTGCGCTTCAGCACTGGCCCTACCATTAAGCTTGATATTCACATCGTCTTTTAGATCTCATACCCTACCCTCAAGCTGGCTTAGTGCTTCTGTTACCCCTGTATTCAAAAAGGGCGACAATACCTCCGCTAAAAATTATCGACCAATAAGTCTCATTCCTATCGCCGCCAAAATAGCTGAAAGAATCATATTAGATAAGCTCCTGTCATTTGCTTTCGAAAATGACCTTATCCCTAAGAATCAGCATGGATTTCTCCCTGGTCGATCAATAATGGACCAACCTTCTCCACTCTCTCAACGGTTGGACTCAGTATCTGGACACAAAGACTCCTGTTGATATAATCTACTTAGATTTTTCTAGGGCTTTCGATCGCGTACCACATAGAAGGGTTCTGTTTAAGTTGGAATGTATGGGAATAAGAGGCGAGTTGTTACTGTGGATTAAGGCTTTTCTCACCGGGAGGACTTTCTCTGTGCGCGTCAGTGATAGCCAGTCTCACCTTCATCATGTAGCAAGTGGAGTTCCTCAAGGCTCTGTCTTGGGGCCAGTGCTGTTCCTTCTGTACACAAGTGACCTGCCCGCATTGATTTCCTCCACATGTTCAGCTTATGCCGACGACATCAAGATTTACAATACTGTCGTAAATTCTGCTATGCTTCAACGAGATCTTGATATTGTTTGTCAATGGTCAGTCAGTTAGCTTTTACCCTTAAATCTAACTAAGTGTTGTGTCCTTCACCTCGGGAAGACAAATCCGCGATTTACATACAAGATCTCTGACCACAACATCGAAGCAGTTTCCAGCCACACTGATCTGGGCGTTGTAGTCAACGATCGTCTTTCCTGGTCTGAGCATATTCACCACGTTACATCAAAAGCCAAGAAACTTCTATACATGCTGGAGAGGTCTTTCAAAGGAGCCGATGTCAACACTTGCGCCTACATTTACAAGGCATTCGTGAGGCCAATTCTTGAATTCGCTGGCCCGGTATGGGACACTGTGCTTCTGCGCGATAGAAATCTCGTCGAATCAGTACAGCGTCGGGCTACTCGTATCCCTTTTGGAGCACGAAGACCAAGCTATGAAGATCGCCTTGAATTATTCAACCTGACCTCATTCTCTGAGCGAACACTTCGTGGCGATCTTATAGTTACGTTCAGGATACTTCATGGTTTGATGGGCACCAACCTCATGCATCTATATCGTCTGTCGCGCAGCAATCTACGCGGACACAGCTTCAAACTACATAAGGAACCATTTAAAACAACAGTCCGAGAGTGGTTTCTTCCCAACCGCATATTTAACACCTGGAATAGTTTACCTGAAAGTGTGGTTGGTGCTACTTCAGTTAATAGCTTCAAAGTGCAGTATGATAGCTGGAGGAGTGTACAAACTTTATAGCTATGAACTGTCTTTTTTTATTTGTTTCTATTTGATGTATTTGTGTTACGTGTCCGTACACTATATTTACTGCATGAGCTTATAGTACTGTGTACTCTGCTCATCTCAATTATCATAATAATAATAATAGTAATAACTTCAAGTGCCTTATATCGACCACAATCACCACAATCTTACTAATTTTTATAATCTAATCTAAAACGTTTTTAAATTGGATAATTAACAAATAAATGGCATTAGGTTTTTCTAAGTTAAGCCAAAATTTGTAGTCAGTAAGTAACTAAGTTTCATTAAATTGAATATTTAAAACGCACATGACAACAGCGCGTCGGTCATCATCACTCTTATCGAACCTGCAATCGATCGCAAACGGTAACAGTGGTTAGTATGTTGTTTTGTTTTTGTTCGCGTACGACGAACAAATTTTTAATGCGGCTGAAATAAGAAATGGACAACTTGGAGGACCTAGAGTAAGAAGAAACTGGGTTCGTCGTAATGAAGCTTGTGTGGAAAGTGGAGGACGACATTTTGAACACCTTCTTTAAATACAAAAAAGTGCAGTGTGGGTTTTTAAAAGAAAAACAGTTTATGTATCAAAATTGTTTTCCCTATTTATAAGTGGATTTTTTTAATACGTTCAATAGATTTTCACACACCAGGTGAAGCGCTGAGACAGTTGGTGGTAAGTCCGTTTTTTTTAATCGTTTGCATTTTACATTATCAAATAATGAAATAATACCTAAAGAGCTAAAAATAACAAACCCCATCTTTATTTACATTGCGTTCTGTCGTAATTTTCGTCTGGCATTGCGGCGTTGTCAGATTTTATTTTACTTTAAAGTCGCTTTTCTCTAAAAAAATGCCGTTTTGACCCCCATGTTATATGAAACCCTCTATCACCCATTTAAATAATGACTATCATAACGTTTACACCCTGTATTTGAAATACTGTTCACTAATACAATGTTTCCGCCACCAGAGTGACATTGCGAACATAATTGTTTTGTAATTCAAAATGATCACCGTGTTGGCTGAAACGTAGTATCAGTAGGCAGTATTTCAAACATACAGGGTGGCCCAACGAAAAGGTCGCACCCCCATTTGTGACTTTCCTGGTATATTTTGGGGAAAATGCTCGGACACGTCCATTTTGATTTCCAGGGGGACGTATTTTCACCTATAGCCGTACAATATAGGAAGATCCAAAAATAATATATTGCGTTACATTTTAGATTTTTAAATGCATTTTTTCTTAATTTTTAGATTTTCCATGAAGTTTTTAGTAACTGTTGTATTATAATAATAATAATAA